TTGGGATACAAGGAACATACCTCAACATCATAAAGGCCATCTATGACAAGCCAACAGGCAGTATCATTCTCAATGGTGAAAAGCTGAAAGCAATTCCATTAAGATCTGGAACAAGACAAGGATGTCCACTCTCACCACTGCTCTTCAAGATTTATTTGTTTATACGAGCACTGGGTACAGTCAGAAGCGCGGGAGGGTGAGAGAATTCATCAGAGCCAGAGTGGGGAACAGAACAGAAAGGCTGACGAGATACACTGCTCAGGGGAGCAGCGGGCGTGGAGGGGAGGTCTGCACTCCATGTGGGACCTTCACCTGCGGCCAGGGATCTAACTGGTGCTGCAGATGCTGCAGGCAGCCTCACAGCCCAGTGCTCAACCACTTGCGCCACCGGGGAGGCCCAAATTTTAATCAATCTTAATCAAATAGGTTTCAGACTTTCCTTAGAGTATAGCCACTCAGAAAGGAGAGAATATGTTGATTGGCAACTTTAGATGCATGGTTTCTGTATGGGGTCTTCCTTCTTGAAGCATCTCAGAGCAGACTGCACTCTGGGAGAGGGACTCTTCAGCTCCTGTTGTTGTCTTTCTATGACACAGGCTGAATTTGGGGGTCACTTCTCAGTTGAATGCTCAACCCAATTGTCCCAATCTGGGCAGCCTTTCAAAGGTAACAAGTGACCCTTAGACTCTAGATGGAAGAAACACTTAGTTCGCCCTCCAGAGATAAAGCAAGCAATCAGGAAATTTTATCAAAAGTATTTTGTAAATATTCAAGATCTTATGAAATCTATCAATATTCTGTGTGGTTACAATTTGAGTGGTGTCAGTCCCTGTTTAGGTCAGTTCTATCCAATTGTGCCCCTTGTCCAGTACTTGACTATGTGACTTTTCACATACATGTAGCAGCTTCAAGGCAGAGCTCTTTTTTCCAGATTGCCCTCTCAACCTCCTCTGAGGCAGACAAATCTCTCACATTCAGATAACATCTTAGTGGCTTTACCTTTCCTAGGCTTCTGTTTGACTCTAGTTCCGCCAAGAGTTTGACAGATTTCTGGAGCCCTGTATACACCTAGTCCCCATCATCTCCCTGTGGACTCCTGCTCTTCCACTCAGGACATCTGCTATCTGCTTTCCCTAAACCCACTGTGAGCACCTGGTCCTCTGAACCACTGTGGCTGTGCAATTTCCCTGAGCTCCCTGACAACACCTGCTCCTCTGAGCTTACCAGGGACAACTGGGCCCCTGAGCCACTGTGCACACCTGGTCCAACTGTGGGTGCAAGCCCTTGCCTTTTCCCAGTCAGTTCTTCATTTTACATTCTATACACAATAAATTGTTGTATACCCCTGCCACTTAAATCACATCTATCTTGCCTTTTATCATTTGTTCCTTGGGTATATAAAGACAAAGCAGAATCATTTTAACAGATGAGAAACAACAATGATATCACAATCCTTAATCCCCCAATGGCCATTTCCATCTAAAATTCCACAGTGACTGCACTTAGGTTCCTAATTATTCCTCCCCCACCTCAATTCATTCTTGATTAGCTTATCTTCATTTGCAATCTCCTTTCCTATCTAGCGGAGTAAAACATGAACTATAATGCAATTTACCCCCCCAATCCCAACTCAACACACAACTCTGACCTAAGTAGGAGGAAGGCATAGTTCTGCTCTCACTGGGGTCGGGGCTCCCTCCTGCCATCCAGGCCCTGGGGCTGCTGCCCAATCTGAGGTCCATAAGGTGCTCTTCAAGAGGAAAATAATCCCGTTTTAAAATACTTTCACCGAAATTTAATTTTCTATCTTGCCTTTAATGAAATGTCTTTCAAGAAGCTTCTGTTGGAAATGTGATTTCCTATATTCTGCTACAAAAGGAGAGTAGAGCGAGTAAAGAGGGAGGGGGGGAGGGAAGAGTCTGGATGAAAAGCGGTAAGAGTAGAAATTCACCTCACCCATGAGAGTGGTGCCCGTGCAGGCATATGTCCTCATTCTCAGGCTCCTACCAGTGGAATGGCCGCTTACAGCTTTTCAGCGGGGAAAACAAAGAAAGACAGCTCTTCTCCCCAGAATGCATAGATCAAATGGACTGTGAGACATCCTAAAAGTAAAGCACAAAGAGAAAGGATGCTCTTGAATTATGGGAACATGCTACATTTTCTGTCTCTAGGACTGATTTTTAATTGCTCTTGCAGCTTTATGACTGTGCACTTTGCATTGCTTTGTTGTCATTCCTGTTCTTTAGGGAATAATCTATTTCCTTAGGATAGGAAACTGACTTTTATTTTCTACTTTTGCATAAAATTCCTGAGAAACAAATTGAAATGGAGGATGTGCCATTCTGTCTTTCTACATCAGAACAAAGTCTAGCCCCCAGCCTTTGCATCTCTTCTTCATGAAGGCAGACAACCACATCCTGAGTGGATTGAATGGTGTGTCTGAACCTGAACTATAAACATTAGTCTCCGTTTCTGGAAAAAAAAATATTTTGAACATTTTTTTGATAGCTTTGATTGATTCAAATGGTAAGAGGGGATTGATTCAAATGCTTGAGGGGATTGATTCCATGCTGTTATACCACTTTGCTTGAGGGGAGTTTGTTTCACAAAACAAAGTTTGTGTTTCAGTAAATGCTGTTTTGCAGTGCTAGAAGGGGGATGTTTCCTCATATTAGTGGGGTCCCCATGCAGTACTGACTCACAGACCTTCTCTGAATTGTCCAGCAGACAGGTGTCTTTTCTCCTCTACACTTCCATTAATTAACTGAGCTACTGCCCATACTTATTTTCCTATTCTCACCATCTTCTTTGGTCATTCATTCATTCCATTTATTTAATGTCTATTATGTCCATTTCACAATATTATCTTACAGTGGTTTCATTTGTTGAAGAAAAGGTCTTTTTTTTCTATAGCTTTATGAGTACCTGAATGCCAGTTATAAGCACAGAGAACTGCTAATTTGGGAACAAGTCTAGTTTTTCACATAAGGGTGGTTCATGCACGTTACTTTCTATTTAACTATATAGCTACAGGACAAAGTTTTCAATTAGCACCAACCATAATCCAAAAGTGAGACAGAGTTTTAGTTGAAAGTGAGAGCAAAGTTTTCACTTGGGGTATATAGGAAAGTTATGATCCAGGAGTCACACAAGCAAGTCACATAAATGCTTCAAAGTGTATGTGGCAAAGGCTGAGGATACACAGTTTATATAGACAGAGCTACTGCTTACACGTGAACTAATGAAATCCTTTAAAAGGGGAAAAAACAAGCTTCTCCTGTGGTGTAGGGGTTAAATTCTCAGCACTATCACACTATGGCCAGCCACTGCAGCATAAGTTCAATCTCCAGCCGGGGAGCTATCTCACATGGTGCAGCAGACATCTCCTGTCTCTCCTGCTGCTAGCCTCAGCAGTGTATTTCAGTCAGTCTGCCTATTCTGTTCCCCACCCTGTCTCTGATGATTCCTTTCACCCCCACCCCCACACCTCTGGCCTACACCCCATCTCTTGTATGCATAATAAATAAAATTAATCTTTAAAGAAAAAAAGGAGGGGAAACAGGCAAAAGGAAGGGCTGTTGATGTAGTGAGTTGATGTAGTGATGGCATGTTGATATAGTGATAGATTGTTTTTCTGAAACTTGGGTCCAATAGTGTTTGTTGCTTTCTATGAATGACCAGTGCTGTTTCTCCAGACTCTCCATATCCCTACTATCAGGATGCCGGTTTAAGGAAGGGCGATACATGGGATTGTAAATCCAGGTTACCAAGTGATCAGGCATGGTAGACACATGTAAGTTCTGGTCCCCTCATTGTCTCCCAGCTTCCTGTTAAGTGTCCTTTTTATAATGTTGATTCCATTGTTTCTTAGCTATCTTTACACAACATTTGTGAAGATGCCCAATGACAGATGCCCTCCCTCTGCAGATCTCACTGTGCCATCTTTTCCAGGACAGTGGTTGTAACTAAAGTGAGAGATTTGTGTTCAAGCATACTCTGGGTGTGAATGTTGAATCTGCTACTTACTTATCCAGGTTTGATGTGAAATAGATACTGAAGCTCTTCACCACTTTATGGGTACTACGACAACGATTTAATGAAGAGTTGGAATAGGCATGACAACAAATTTAGCCCCCCATTTCCCCCCAATTCCTAGGTGTTCCAGAGCTCCATTAAGTTTCATATAGTTTGTCTGAGATTCTACAAAAGCCTTTATAAGACCTCTTTTTAATCCATTTTATTGTGATATCACTTACATACTATAAAAAACACTTATTTTAAGTTTATAACAATAAATTTAAGCTAGTGATTATATGTATCCACCATACAACCAAATCAGGGACATTTTAATCACCCCAAAATGCTGTTATACCACTTTGCAGCCAGTGCCATCCTTACCCCCAGACCCAGGAAACAAGAGATCTGCTTTATTCTCTATGGATTCTTTTGCATTTTTCCAGAATCTCCTGTACATGGAATCATGTGACTTTGTGCCATTGTACATATCAATAGCTTGTCCCTATTTACTACTCAGCAAGTTTCCATTGATGGGATGCACAGTGTTTGCTCATTCACCAGTGGATGGAATTTTGAGTTGTCTCCAGGTTGGGACTAATATTGATAAAGCTGCTACGAACATTTGTGCAGTCTTTGTGTGGACATATGCTCTCCTCTCCCTTTCATAAATACCAAGAAATAGAAGGGCTGAGTCTTACGGTAGGTATAAGTTTAATTTTATCAGAAAGAGTAGATCTATTTTTCAAAGCAGCTGCACCATTTTACATTTTCATCAGCAATGTAAAAGAGTCCCAGTTGCTCCACATTCCTGCCAATTTTCAATGTCGATCATCATTCGCATTTTTGCCCTTCCAGTGGGTGTATAGTGAATTGCCATATCTTTTCTAGTTTTAACTTCTTTGAAATTCTACATCTTGGATTTAGTGAAGAAAAGATGGTGAAGGAGAACATACAAAATGAAACCCTTATTTCTCTCCCTACAGATCTAAAATTCAAGTAGCATATACTGAGAGATTCTTGGAGAAGGGACCACAAGGCAGGATGTGATGCCTCTGAACAAGAGAATAAAATGCATTAATGAGTTTCCCTGGAGGAATGTGCCCAATGTGGTATTTTGTTCTGACAAGTATTGAAAATGGCTTCAAACAGGAGATGGCATTACAGCTAGTCGTCAAAGGAGAGAGATTTTTCAGGAGACAGGCAGAGAATGAAGGAAATATAGGTAGGCAATGTAGGGGGTAGGGGTAGGAGATGAAGGGGAAGTGCAGGACATTCTGTGCTCACAGAACAATGGAATGAAGGGACTGAACCATGATTGGGAACAGAGGTTATCCTTGAGTTTTTGAATATGAAGAATTTATGTATTCCATAAGCAATCTGGTTAGTATTTTTGAAGTTATGACAGAGGTTTCTACTTTAAAATCTGTGTGCACTGAAAAGTAACCTCAAGTGGGAAAGCCTGGCACTTAATAAGTATGCATTGAATGAATGATCAAATGGATTAATGAATAGATTTCCTGAATATAGAAAAATATACCTGGCAATTTTGCGACTGAGTAGACAAAATGTTCAGGTAAGTTTATAGGATATAAATAACCTCCATGAGGAAAATTTGGATACAGCTTCTTTTAGATCTAACATTAAGCCTGAGATGTTTTTTATATATGCAAATATTCCATGTAAAGAAAAATATTTAAAGAAAAGGAACAGCATAAACATAGCTTTACATAAAGAAACAGGCAACAGAAACAGGGCTTATTTGGTGTAGTTAAGAAAAAAGTTTATTTTTAATGCTTTGCATATTTATATACCAACAAGCTATATGCAAGGATCTCTTCTGTGTCTTCATTGCATTTACTTTTTAATTCAATAAGAATCTAGTCAGTATCAGCTAAGGCTGTGTATGAGGATGCACTAATTAATCAGGCCTGGTACTAGAGCAGCAGCGGAGTAATAAAATGAGAACTTAGCTTGTGGCCATGGATTTAAGTTCACTCAGCACCCTCCACTTAGGGCAAGTGGAGGGTAACTGGAAGAGGAACTAGGTCTATCCTCCAAATCAGCTGAAGGATCATTGAAGGAGTGGCAACTGAAAACCTAAGATAACAGAGTTTTAGCAAAGAGAAAATCTGTGGAGAGTGGCCAACAACCCACTGAGCACAAACTATTCCCCCTGCCCATGAGGCAGAATTAGGAGTGAATTAGCCATGGAGAGCAGAGGGACAATGCTGGGAAAGGAGCAGGTCTAGTTAAGAGTGCACCAAGAATGAGCAGGGTAGGGCTCAAACCAAAGTGCTAGAAGAAACAAGTTACGTGTCATGAAGAACAATGGACACATACTATGAACCTGCATAAATTCCCATGCTTATGTTCCCTGTGGCTGCATCACAATCCACTACAGAACTCAGAGGTTTAAAACTGCAACCATACATAATTTATTAGGATTCCAGGGGTGAGGAATTCAGGTCAGGCGTGGCTAGGTGATGCTCCTTTCCTGGCACACCACATGGGAACACTTGCTTGGCAGCATTCAGTTGGAAGCAGGACTGGAAAACCCAAGAAGACGTCACTCACATGTCTGCCATCTTTCTGGTTCTTCATGAATCTCATTCTTCCCTCAAGGTGTGTCATCTTTCAGTCATCTTCTAGCCAGGGTGCCCTGGCAGCATGGTGGTTGGTTTCCTTACAGAGAGGAAAGTGGCCACTGCCAGACTTAGGGCTGATGTCTAGAGTAGACACAGCATCACCTCCAGCAGGTTCTGTTGGTCAGAGCTAGCACAGAGCCAGTGTTAACTCAGGGGTGGGATGAGCTGTTACTGTTGATGGAAGGAAATTCATGTGCAGTGGGGAGGAGGAGGAGATTAATAGCTGTTTTGGAACCTGGCCATGAACAGAGCCATGAGAACAGAGCCATGAGAATTTACTGGTGTATTTTTATTTATTTATTTATTCAATTTATTATTCCTTTATTTTAAGATTTTTATTTATTTATTTTTGCATAAAAGAACTGGGGTGTAGGCCAGATGTGCAGGGGTGACAGGATTCACCAGAGACAGAGTGGTGAGCAGAACAGGCAGATCTACTGAAATACACTGCTGAGGGGAGCAGCAGGTGAGATAGGAGAGGTCTGCTGCACCATATATGGGTTAGCTCCCTGGCTGGGGAATAAACTCAGGCTATTGTGATGGGCCATCATAGTGGTAGTGCTGAGACTTCACCCCTCATCCACCGGGGCGGCCCATTTCTCTTACTTTATAAGTTTCACAGCCAATTCCTAGGGAAATAAGTGGCTCTGGTCTTGTCTAGCAAGAGAGGGCCTATGAGAGATTTAGGGCTGGACTCGAGCTCCCTAACACCCAGATCAATGCACTTCTGTTTCTTTAATCATGGTGACGTTCAGTGGACACTAGAGGTTGGAATTTCATGGCCTTGTTACTTGGTAGAAATTTCATGGCCTTGTTACATTAAAACTAGTGCTTTGGTTTACATTATTTCTTGATTCATAGCTTGCTAAATACATGAATTAAATCAAAAGATAAAATCTTTGCCATTCATTTCCCTCCTCCTAAAGTAACTCTGATTTTTATCTACATAGATTGTTGAATTTAATATAAATTATTTAATGTGTAGTCTTTTGTGTGTTCTTCACTCAGATGTGTCTCTCACATTAATCCAGTTGGTTCAGGAATGGTAGATTTTTGTTGTTTGTTTTGTATAGAAGTTCAGTGAGGGAATTATAAGACTTAACAATAAAATAGGCAGTTATTTTACCAGCAAAACAATTTTATTTGGGATTAGCAGGACTACAATTCAGGGTATGCAAACTAGAACACATGCTAGGCAAGGAGAGGGGCTTGCTTTTGTAGTGGAAAGGGAGCACCGGGTCATACAGGAGAGGTCGCTGTGCCATGTGGGTTGGCTCCTGGCCCGGGATTGAACTCATGCTGCAGTGTCTGTGAATTGCTTCATGGTGCTGAGACTTAACCCCTTGAGCCACGAGGGAGGCCCAGTGGTGACAATTATATGGGACTACACAATGATGTTAAAGATATAAACAAATAATAATAAAAATAAAGGATTCGATGTTTGATTGACAGAGTTTTCAGGAGCTTCACCCAGATCCCCACAGAGTCCTCCTCAGCAAATGCTATGGAAACAACCATCCCTCCCCAGGGGCACTAGAGCATGACAGCCAGGCTTCTAGTGGCAGACAACTTTCTCTGGAAGCCAATATCAGCTCTGCGCAGAGCAAGCAAAAAGTACTGGGGAATCAATGATGTCCTCTAGCAGCCTTCCGCCAATGACTGATGAACTTGCTCCAGCTCCAGTGCCCCTCACAGAACGTAACCGAAATACCTGCTTCATACTGATTCATTTTTTGAGCTTTTTGGTATTCCCCCCACCTAGTTATCTGTTTGCAACCAACCCTTTTCCCAGGATCTACTCCCGAGAAACCCAAACCTTTAGAGACAGAATGTTGAATGTAGAGTGTGGGAAGAAATACTGAAACAAGAAAACTAGTTGTTTTGTCGTGTCTCCTGTGGATTCCCCAGGCCCCTTTGTTCTCGAGATGTAGTCTTCATGACACAGAGTATCTGCTGCTCAAGCTCAAATGTAGAGTCAGGCAGGGGGCCTCTCACCAGGACAAAAGTCTTGGTATGAGCATATCTGCTGAAAAGAGCAGGCAGACATTATGGCCAGATTACCATAACCAGCTAGACCATGTTGACAGGAAATTAAGTCTAAATAGGGACTAGAGATAGGATGTTTTGATCAGCAGCAACAATGGAGCCCCCCAAGCAGTAGCCCCTATTCAGTGACCCCTACCTTGTGTCAGACTATTATGACTCCCCACTGCACATACCCGCTGCACTCATTTCCCCATGTGCTTGCCCATGTGCTTCCCTGAATCAGACCCCCGATAAATGTGAGATTGGCTTGGGGAAGAGGCTGCTGCATCTCCATAGGTACCCCCCTCTCTCTCTCAACTACTTGGACTTTGAGTTGTCTCTCCTCCATCCCGTTCCACTCCCAATGCTGCTGTCTCATAAGGTGACACTCTACCTCCTATTTTGTGTAATAAACTTAGTATAATCTCTGATAATAGACCAATGGGTGTGGTGTGTGTATTACTTTTTTCCACAGATGCCAGGCTCTGTTCAATTTTGATAAGCAAATCTCTCAGCTTTTTTAATGGAAGACATGCTTTAAGTTGACATGATTTTTTTGGTTGCCTAGAGATTATCTTAGTGATATGCTGACTGTTTTTTCTATTTCTAAAGGAACTTCCTCCACTGCTCTTTTTATAAAATACTAACAACACTCTACTTCTTACCATATTTCCACTTTGGTCTTCAAAATGTGCCTGAACAGTAGTTGATGCAAAGCTTCAGCTGAGCTTCCATCTTGGCTGTTGGTTTCTAGGTATGTGTGTCATATAGAGCACAAACATTTCTTTTCATTCTTCTGCCTTCTTCTCTCAAGAATAAGTGCATGGGGCCTCCCCGGTGGCGTAGTGGTTGAGCGCTGGCTTGCGAAGCTGCACGCAGCCTCTGCAGCACCGGTTCGATCCCCGGCTGCTCCCAGGCCACCGGAGGAGGGTCCCACATGGCGTGCAGATCTCTCCTGCCACGCGCTGCTCCCCTCAGCAGTGTACTTTGGCCCTTCTGCCTGCTCTGCTCCCCGCTCTGGCTCTGGTGAATTCTCTCACCCTCCTGTGCTTCTGACTGTACCCAGTGCTTGTATAAATAAATAAATAATTAAAAAAAAGAATAAGTGCATGTATTTATTGAAAGAAAAGAAGGTGACATTCCATCTCTTCAAAAAACAACTGAAAAACAAAAAGCTTCTGGAAGATAATGTGGAAGATAATGGGCAATAATTGTGTCATTCTAGAGTGAGGAAAGAATTTCTGAAATGTAAACAAAAATGCATGGAAGGAATAAAAGGGGAAAAGTGTCAAATTAGAGTATTATGGTAGCAGTTTGTTCATCAAAGAACTTCATTTAATGAGTGCAGAGGCAAACTACAGAGTGGGAGAATATGCTGATGAAGCACAATGTTAACTTCTACAAAACAATGA